AAATAAAATGAACTTTTTTGATTTTAGCAAATGGCTGCAATGAAACAGAGTGAAAAATTTAAAGGGGTCTGAATACTTTCCGTACCCACTGTACGTATGTTACTGCTTCAGTCTCTCTCTTTCAAACACTCAATCCAGAGTTAATGGTTTTTGGAACAGTGGAAAGACTAACAAAGGTGGTTTTGATGAGTTTTATTTAGTTTCTGTGGAGTTTGAATGAAAAGAGTTTTACAATGATCAGCGAGGTAAAATCACTCTGTCAGTGGAGGCTGTGGGATTTGAGGAGTGCATATAACGACAAATAATTTGGATATGATTTTCTTTTCGTAGCTTTGTCGATAGTGTGTTAATTGTTTTGCACTTTGATCAGTTGTAGTGAGTTTTCAAATTCCTGTTTTTATTCTTATATAAAACTAATGGTTATAATTCACAGCAAGATCAAATAAGAATTGGCAGATAAAATAATTAAGAAAAAAACTGTAAAAGTGAGTCTTGAGAGATGATTTAAAAGACGGCAGTGAGTTTTCTAGACTTAGTTCCTAAAGTAGGCTATTCCAAGGGGTTGTGGCACTTCAAATCCCCTTTCACCCTTGGTCTTCAGCCTTGACCGTGGAATAGGTAACGATGCCTTGTCAAAGGACCTCAGGCTACGGGTTGTTGAGTAATAATTCAGAAGGTCAGCCAGGTAGCTCGATGCCATACCACGCAGGGCCTTAAAAGTCAAGATTAAAATTTTTAAATCGATTCTAAAATGGACAGGAAGCCAGTGAAGGGAAGCTAAAATTGGGGTGAAATGATCACGTGAGTGTGGCAGCTGCGTTTTGGACAGCCTGAAGACTTGTAATCATGTTTAAGCTAAGGCATGTAAACACAGAATTACAATAATCAAGATGTAATGAAATCATGAATAAATTACGTTATGAATGAATTTGAAGATCATTAAATGTAAGAAATGCCAAGAAAAGAAAAAAGACAGCCCGGTACTGTTAGTCAGCCACCAGGCTGTCTGAGAGTATGACATCATGGACATGACATCATGGACCACCTGCCTGTTTTAGAATGCAGCACTTGTAATATTAGATATTTCCTGCAATAATTGTTCATGTTAAAGGGGCATGGCTTATACTTTGTTGTCATACTCAGTGTTTCTCTTCAGTATTGTGCTAAGTGATCTGTTTCTCAGATGGAGAGCTTTATACGGGGACGGTGGCAGACTACAGGGGGAACCGGCCAGTCATCTCCCGGCACCTCAGTGAGGGCCGGCGTGTTGACCTGAAGTTGGATGATACATTAGGATGGCTGGAGGGTGAGTGTGTTGTTGGTCAAAATGAAATTTATGGTAGTCATAGCAGTTGGGAAGAGAATTGTATTGATGTATTAATGAACGTGTTTGGACTGCAGTTATTTTGACAGTTGCTGAGTACTTGATAATTGCTTAGTTCTTCATTTGAGGTAGCATGTGAGGGATATGAACTTTCAAAACTGAGAATAAAAAGATAATATAAACTAAAACAACAAAAGAGCACAAGACTTGTGTGGGCCATGGTTAGAGACCTGAATATACCCAGTTGGCCAAGTCAACACCCCAGCACTTGTCAATCCTGTCAATGTTTTGAAATGGCTTAAACATTGACCACAGTTGTTTATGAAAGTAGTATCATGATTTGAATTATGGATGAGTCAATTATTGTGCCCTTGTTCCCAATCAGTCATTTAATATTGAATATCTTCTAATACCAAGTCCCGATCAGATACTTCAAGTCCATTTAAGCTATTGAAATCAATCTAATTGCAGTATGAAAAGTTACCTGTATCCAAGCTGGTCCCAAATGTTTTTATTTAATTAATAATTTATACAAAATCAAAAGTATGATAAAACAAACCCTCTCTGTAATTGTTTTGGCCTTGTCGCTGTCTCAAAGGAATTCTCTCTCCCTTAAAAGTGTTTCTGAGTTACTTGAATGAACTGGATTCTGTTGAGTGTTTATTTTCGTTGTCTGCAGATCTTTTGCACATATTACAGTAATGAATTACTCTTTTTGGCTTTTTGGTCGCAGTACTTTTGTTGAACTAATAGTGGCGTGGGCAGTTTGGGGGTCATTGGCTCTCCACCGATCTGTGTCTGTGCTGTCTGCGGTGAAACACCATGCACCATAGATTACAGTCACTCCAGACTATCTGAAATCAAGTGCACAGAAATTAGGTAAATAACATCACTAAATGGTCTCATACTGCATTTTGCAGTTTATGGTGTGTAGTGTTTCGTCGCTGGTCAGGGCGGAGTGCAGCGCAGTGGAGGAGAGATGGACAAGGGAGAGTTGACGATTTGACGACGGCTACACTTGTTGCGTTGCTGTGCATAAAGGCTTCAGAAGTAAAAAAACAACTGTGTGACAGCTGACGTAAAAAGGAGGATCGGAACGGGCTCAGTAGAGCAGATACCGATCATTAAAAAATGCCTTGAATACATTCCCTATTTACTGTAGGTGTTATGGCAACTTTGAAATGTCCTTTACATCATTAAAAAGACTGTTGGCCAACAGGGGGGTTTATGCATGGACTCAATGTATCCCAGACACAAATTTAGGGATAAGCTGTAACATATTGTTTTATATGAATGATTTGACATATTTCCACAAACTTACATCTTGGGAATACTTTTTTATCTATTTGCTGTAGATCCAACCTTCATCAGATCCAGTTTCATTCCTGATGAGGAGAAAATCTACTTCTTCTTCAGTGAAGTGGGCAGAGAATATGACTTCATCGACAAATTTATTGTTTCTCGTGTCTCTCAGATCTGCATGGTAAGGGTAAAAGAATGGGCCTCATGCAAGAACCACTCATACACGCACATTTGTTTTTAGGCGGCACATACAAGTGACATTTTTCTTGTAATTAAAATTTTGTCTTGGGTACTAACTAAATTCAGGAGTGGTCCAGACCTGTCCTACAGGTAGTCTGTGAGCCAAAGTACATGAATACGTTCTATTCTCATGTCCCTGTGTTTTCATTCTTGTATGTATTCACTCTTACTTGTTCATGCTCATACACTTAACTCACACAATCATACATTCTTCAAATGCATTCATGCATATAATGTATTAATTTAATATTCTAAAGTATATACACTCTGTCAGGGTTCAACACTGTTTTTTTTTTTTACACTTGCCCAATCGGGCAAAAGAAAGTGGGGAAAAAAGTCTAGTTTGTCAGAGGTATCCAGGTGGGGGGGGAGACCAAACTCCGACATACTGCTGTGTCTGAAATACAGTGTAGGTTACAACAACAGCAGGTTGCAGTGCTGTGATGCCTTCTTCTCTTCTCATGTGTCAGAGTGATGTTGGAGGTCAGCGGACCCTGCAGCGACGCTGGACAACATTTGCCAAAGCTCAGCTGTTGTGCCAGGCTGACAATGAGCTGCCCTACAATGTGATCCAGGACATAGACACCCTCCCACCAGCAGAGGGGGCCCCTGCAGATGACACACTCTTTTATGGCATCTTCACTTCCCAGTGGTCAGTTAACTAAAGGGCAATAACCCATACAGCAACTAATGTACAATCCCTGAAGCTATGGTGGCCTGTATCAGCTGTGACTTGTGAAAGTCCTAGGGTCTCATTTATAACGCTCAAAACGGGGCCTTTAAGGGGTGTACGCCACTTCCCAAGCAAAAGTTGTGATCTACAAAATACAACTTGACAGGAGAATGTGCGCACCTGTACGCAAAATCTGACCCATGTGTACAAACATTTTGGAGACACTGGGAAATTGGCAACGCAGATGGCGAGGTGGTGAATTGAAGCCAGAAATGTGAGAGGCATCATTACAGGTATAATGATGCCTCTCCCATTTAATTTCACTTCATAGCACACGTTACTTTGCACTTATTGATCCTCTTTATCATGAACAGTCAAACCAGCAGTGTTATTTGTGTTTGTACTCGTGAGCCATAACTGTAAGCACATTTCAATTAAAAAAAATATATGAACCAACTCAAACCTCACATTCAATATCGCTTAATGTTTCATCGGCGCTATGGAAATAAGGCCAGAGACGGCTGTCGTACGATCACTCCATATCACATTATCAGCAGCTCATTTCTATGCATCAACATTGATAAGGTGCTTTGCATTGACCATTTATGGTTGAATGTGGGCGTGTAGAGGGCGGGATATGAGGCTGAATCAGCTGTGCACATTTACAGGTTGATTTGGGATTTATAAAAGGAATTTGCGCACTGGCAGGAGTAAGAAAGTTTTTAAAAATCTGAATTTGTTTTGGCGTACGTGCATATACTCTTTTCAATGTACGCAAACATTAAGTGTGGATCCCACGCACTGATTTATAAATGAGACCCCTGTTCATGCCGAGTGCTGCTTAAAGCAATGGTTCCCAAAGTGGCAAAACTTTAAATAGTTTGTCATCACATAAAAAAGAGGCCACTTTTACATTAACTACATTTTTACAAAACGTTATTAAACATACAAGTGAAGAATACACTGGATTTATCATTTGGAAAATCCTTGTTAAATATGCTGTTATGGTTAAGACTTTTCATAGTAAAACAACACGGCACCCAAGATTGTTTTATGAGCACAGCTGTAAGAAAGATTTGTCACCGTTTATGGAGATGGTGAAACAAGGTAGGAAAAACAATGGTGCCAAATAAGGGTAGGAGACTTTGAATGGTGGAGGGATGCGTGGAGCAAAAAAGAACCTCGAAATGATGTGGTCTGAAAAGAATAGTTCAGCATGTTAAATATGCTCTCGCATACAGGATCTTGTGTGTGGTAGAAACTCTGGGAGAACACACTATAGGAAGATACAGGGGTGCTCTTGCACTACTACTAACAGAATATTCTATTGAGGACAACGTACAAGTCAAGTTGGAGCAGGTAGTGCATCAACAGGAGGCTTTGTCACTGTATCTTCTGACTGAGCTGTCGTTCTTATTTATCGACACATGTATTACTCTGTTGTGTGCACCATTAGCTCTCATTCATATCGTCTTTTCTTTCCATTAACTAGGTCTGTCAATTCTGGACGGTCAGCAGTGTGTTCATTTCGCCTGACTGACATCAAATCAGTTTTCTCTGGTAACTACAAAGTCCTAAACCGGGACACATTACAATGGAGCACACGGGTTCAAGAAAAGGTTGCAAATCCAGGAGAGGTAAATGGTCCCCTCAAATTGATATGGGAATGGAACTTTAAGATGAGATTGGACTTTATCCTGAGTGAAGTTGACGTGCAACAGTTATAGCAATATAAAGCTAAAAAGTATTGAACAAATGCAAAAGCCGGAAGTGAGCAACAATGGATGTTGATAATGAAACAGGCCTACAATTACACTCGTATGAACCAGGCCTGAATCGATCGCAGAATTGATCACCGGCAATAGGTACATAATGCATGCCGGTCAGATGTGTGACTGACTTGATCCCAACTTACTCTAACGTCATGCACACTATGGGCAATGATAACTTCATGAGGTCGCTGCAGTTCTTAGCGCCAGGCACTTCAGCTGCTTTCCACCAACTTTGCAGTGGGTGTACTGATAGTTCCATTAGCTATTAAACAGAAACAATGGTGCTCACTTGCTCATTCACACAACTGAACACATACTCTCCCTGGGTTTATGCCTGTAGTCGGTTAATTGCAACAAGACTGCTCGTTTTTATTAAGTTAAACGTGCAGTCTTTAGGATTGTATTACTACAAGGAGTAAAGTATTAGTGTTTTACTCACAAATATTTTATTGCAGATACAGTAACAAGTGTAGTTGCCGTCAACTTGAGTATCCTTCACTTCACCTGTTTCTCTTCACCACCAGCAGAGAAAATGCGTGCTGCGGTGTGAAAATAAATGACACCAAAACATAAAAAAATACTAATAAAAACACCAGTGACGTAGGGGCTTATAAATACTACGATCTTTAATTATTTAGCACCGGTGACCAAAAGCGACCGTACCTTCAGATAACGTAAAACGCAAAAGGCTAGAGCCTGTGTCCGTTCTGAGCTGCTGGATGTAGGACTCCGTGGAAGACGACCAGCTCGCTATGTAGATATAAATGGCTTTTAAGTTAAGGAAAACATAACGATTCTTAGTGTCAGGTGATTAGACAGTGATTAAAACATAGTTATGAATATTGTATTCCATTGCTGCCAATTAATCCCCCTAATTGTTACGCACTGTAAGACCGTAAATCAATGAGACACAGGCTTACTGACTTTATCTCCAACAAGCTCAGTTCACTTCCAATGAGGAAGTTTTGATTTGAGATAGTTAATTAGCCTAAGACCTGAGCTTATTATAACAATACAGTAACTCTGTGAATAGCTTAGATCTAGGAAAATGGTGACGTCACTGAAAGAATTCAGATGCGTCAAGAGGGAAACAAACCTCCAGTTCGGATAACCTATTTAGAAAAATACGGTGGAATGTAAAATGATTATCCAAACTGTCTGTTGTAAACATTCATCACAGTTTACAGAACAACTTCCTGCCTGCTTTTTGGCCTCCTGTATAATTATTGAAGAATCGATGGCTAATTGCTGATTTGCTTGCAGATTTTTGGACGTTTCATTTATTGTGGAATACTTCAAAATATTTATTTAAAACTACTACTAGTCAATTTGCTGTGGTAAATACTTTAAAATGGCTTAATAAATATGTATTTATATTTAGAACTAGCTGTCACTCAGCTCTGTTAGCTTGATGTTTGTGAAGGGAATGAAATATGAAAATTCACTTTCGATCTATTTTAGTTGAATGAATGAATGTAGGTGCCTTATATGTAATATTAGTCTGATCTAAGTTGTATTGAATGATGTAATCAAATTGGTTCAATTAACCTTTCAGGTATCATTTTGATCCAATATAATTGTGTTCAAATTACTGTTACTGTCAAACTACTTTTTTGTGTGGTAGTGTGGACTGCACAACGCATCTGACAACGCCCTGCGCTTTGTCAAAGAAAACTTCCTAGCAGATGACAGTGTGCGACCAGTTGGAAGAAGTCCGACTATGTTATCTGCTGAGCACAACTACAGCCATCTGACTGTCCAGAGAGTCCTGGCTGCCAACAACAGAGACTACACTGTCCTGTTTCTGCTTACAGGTAGGACATGTGGGAAGCATTTCAAAATGTTTATTGTCACTTCGTTTATACAAGTATAATCTTGTAAAATGCTTTTGCTGGGAGGCTCCGTAAAAGGTAGAAAATAAATAATAAATATATAAAGATGTATAATATATAATATAATACAATACATTTAATAACAATATAGAAGCAATACAAATATCCAGCTAAGAATACAACAATAAAAAGGCTGCATGTTGCTCAGAGTTTTGGGTGCACTCTGTGTGTATGTAAGTTTGTGTGTGTGTTATTTATTTAGTTGTCTTATGGCCTGTGGAAAAGCTGTTCCTCAGTACGATACGATATACCTAATTGTATCCATCGGGAAATTAGTCTTGGACTCAAATGCTGCACGCATGATTTGACAGGTGAAGTAAATAAAGAAACAGAAAAATAAAGCAATATGTACATTATGACACGTTACACGCATTGCACATATTACACAACCACTGATAAGAACAAGCAACGTATTGCATGACCCCTCGTCATACCACCAAGCTATTTCACAACCCCTGCAGCCTCAAGCAACATTTATTTAAATTCTTATTGAGGTAGGCATACTTTTTTTTTTTTTTTTTTAAACGGTTAAGTTTACATCAGGGTACTCTATACCTCCTATCAGTGTAAGAGCTTGCACTCGATGTGGCAAATAAGGGATGGATCAGACAAGTGCTTGTCTGAGACCAGACTGCTCATACATTGACTGGAGACTGTTGTTCATTCTTCACCATAACTTTCATGGCAGTCTGTGCTAGACAAGCAAACTTCGATTTTAACTGCACAGAGATTGCCATTCCATTATGCCATTCCATTATGACATGCCATATCGACTATGCTTTCTGGTACAGCCTGGTAGAATAAGAACATAATCCTCTGATACACCCCTTACACCCAGAGTCTGCGTAAAATGTATAGTCTCTGCTGTAAAGAAGAACACAAGCTTTCAACATGGCCCTACTAGCTAACTGTGTTGTCCAAGTGAATGCCAAAGCACTTATAGGAGCAGACCTGATTGATTAGTTTGTCATGTATGACCACTGGACTATGATCCCCCACTGACCTAGGGTCCAGTACCATCTCCTCATTTAAAATGAGATAGAAGTTCTCTTTCAGTGCAATAGACTGAAAGACTTGTCTCTTTGTGCAGTAGGCTGAGGATAGCAGTGTCGTCTGAAAATTTGAATATGTAGTTCAGGTAGCTCAGATGGGGCTGAGGTGTATTAAAAGCAGAGGTAAAATCAACAAAGGCCTTGGGATCTTCCAAGTGCTTAGTAGTCAAATAGGAGATACTATCCATCCATCATTCGTAACCGCTTATCCTTTACAGGGTCGTAGGGGGCTGGAGATGATCCCAGCTGATATTTGGCAAAGGCAGGGTACACCCAGACTTCGCCAAAGTCTGGGTGTACCCAAAACACATGACTATAAAAAATTTGTGACTATAATTACTATGAAAATTAGTATTTTCTCCCAATAACAGTCAGATCCGCTGGGCTGAGACCACACTACTCTGCTATGTTTACACTGAGCGTTCGCCGGAGTTTTCGAGCACCGAAAACGGATACATTTGAAAATGCTCCCGAGGACGGATACGAAAGTTGCCTCTTTGTGTGGACGGTCGAAAACAGAGAAGTTTGCAAACAATGAGGCCCACACCCGTGTTTGCGACTTGATTGGTTCTCATCAGTCACGACGTGTCCTTCCCTGATTCGTCACGCCCCTATCACGTGACCATTTCCCCGAAAATCTTAAACAGTCTTGATTATCGATCGACTACCAGGTTAATTTAACATGGACAACTGATTACAGGCGTTGCTGACCTTGTTGTCTTTACTAGCAGCTGTTCAGTTAAATTCTGCATTTTTGCGGAGGAAGCAGCTGTTATTGGAGCGATTAGTGAGCGGCGTTGTCAGCGCTACGGACGACAGACACAAAACAGAGGACTTTGTTTCTTATTGATGCTTATTTTGTTCTACACAACTATTGTGAAGTCCAGACACAAACTATAAAGGAACAAAACATGAATTGCTCTCCAGTAGACAGACAGACAACAACAAAACAGAGGAAAAGAGTAAGAGACGTGTGTTGACCACATTTATGGACCCATAATCTAGTAAACCTGTATGTGTAAGTGTTGATTTAAAGTATATTTGATATGTGTGAGAGAGAGCAAGACCCGCAGCGTTGTAACTAAATCGGAAAAATAAACTTCTAAAACTTTCCACGAACTGTCTGTTTGAGTTCATAGAGGAAGATTTTAGAGAAGATCTTAAGTATCAAACACGACCTTTCATTATTAAAGACTACTTTATTACTCTGTCGTATTTCTTTTAACTAAGCAACCAATCTGCTTCCTGTTTACATCGGAACCCACCTGCATGCCCAGTGTACGTGAATAGTCACGTGATATTCGTTTTCAGGCGTTTTAGTCTGGACAGAGATCATTTCAAAAACAATGCTGAAACGCCGTGTGGACGGAGATCGTTTTTGTTTTAGAACGAAAACGTATTAGTGTGGATGTAGCCTGGAGACTTGGAGACAGATAACACTCACATTCACACCTACGGGCAATTTAGAGTCATCAATTATCATAAGTTGCATGTTTTTGGACACCAGAGAACCCGGAGGGAACCCACACTGACACTGGGAGAACATTCAAACTCCACACAGAAGGGCCATGCAGCCCGGGATCGAACCCAGCTCCCTCTTTTTGTATATTATATATAGCTATACTAACTTACAGGTGTCATGTGTACCGCCCTTACCTGTAAGTAAATTGGAAAAGATCCAGACCAGAACTGACGTCTGCTTTGTGTACAGACATCATGTAATTTTCAAAGCATTTCATCACAATCAAAGTCTGAGCCACAAGTCTACAATCATTAGTCTCAATTGGACAATTTTTTTGGGAACTGGAATAGTGATGGATTTTTTCCAAAGGGTAGGGTAAGAGCCTACAGGCCGCTGGAAAACAGAGCACCATGCTCTGGTGAGCTCTACTGCGCAGGTCTTTCAGAGAAGAGCAGAAATGCCATCTGGGCCTGTGGATTTCTTTGTGCATGCGTGTCTAAAAAGTAACTGAATCTTGTGTGGGTCAACCAACAGCCTGAAGCTTAAATCAGTAGTGAGAATAGTCTCCAGCACATTATTACAATCCAAAGAGAAGTCCTGCGTTTCAACCCTCAAATATAATACTGGCTATATTGGCTTTGAGCAGATCATCATTAGTGATGAGGCACTTCCTATTTGTGTTCATAATGGTTATAATCATGGAGTCCCATACTTCAATCTGCTCTATCCTCATTTCTGAAAGCTTTTTTCTGGTTGAAGCAGTCCTTTACCTTCTCAGTTGTATAAGGCTTCTTGTTGGGGTACACTATAATGTCTTTTTTGATAACACCATCCACACAAAATTGTATGTAGTCCATTATTATTTCAATGGCATTGAAGTCTAATAATTTGGAGTCTCTGCCATAAATTTCTTCTTGGTCAGACAGTTCAGGGATTACAGGTTAAGAGTTAGGACTCCTTGGTGAACACATTATGTGAAATGTGTGTGTGTGTAGTGTCGAAAACGTGAGCATAGGTGCAGGTTAGAAAACTGGTACTGTTTGCTGTCCTCCAGAAATGTTTGCTCTCAATTAACATGAGTGCCTATGGGGCAGTTACTTGAATTTCCGGTAAATTATTAAAGTACAGCATTGATTGATGAGAGTGAATAACCTCTTTGTATGTACAACTCACTCATTGATTAGTGTCCATTGCAGTAAAAATAATAATAAAGTATTGTCCTGAAAGCTTTGGGGTCTAAGACCTGTGACTGCAAGGTTACTTGAGTTAATCATATAGTCTATCATTTGAATCCAGTTCAGGAACCCTAGTATGTGTGCAACCTCATCTTTCTACTCTGTTGTGAACTCTATTCTCACACATGACTTGTATTTCAAAAGTAGCTTAATGCATATATGTCAAACAATGTGCTTTGGCCCCTGCTTATTTCAGTTTGCAGCTACATTTGTTGTTGCATTGATATTGTGTTGGTATCAGTGGTGGGCCGTCAGGGCCTGCAAGGCCTTCTCTGCTGGCCTAAACAGAATCACAAAGTTATATCTATTTTATAATTTAATAATTTTTCTTAAATACACTACATGTATTATAATTTATAAAAATATGTTTCCCATTATCTTATGTTCTCATTGCACAGCTACTGTCTTCCTCAGTTGCTCTGCTTCCAGTGCAGCTTGTTTTAAGTAGAGCTTTTATCCAATCAGATTTCACCTCTGTCTCTAGGTAAGAAGAGAGGCCTGAGGCCTGCAGACTCACAAGTGAATCCATGTGCACTTTAAGTGAATGGGGACGATATTGTTGATTGTCATAGTCTTCAACCAATCAGATCTTTAGTTTGACATGTTGGGCATATTCTTTGACGTGTCAGCGCCTGCTAGCCGGCCTATAGCTACGTCAGCATTACGTGCAGCTCAGTGTTCATGTGCAGCTCTGCCGCGAGGTGCAGAGTGTGCTGTGATTGGTCAGTGGGCGAGCACGTGACTATCGTGAACGAAACTTAACAGCAGAGGCTTAGTCGGGTAGTGAATCACATCACGTGATGCAGCTCAGCCAATCAAATATGGGCATTCTGACCCGAGTGAGATGTATCACACACCATGACACAGGGGACTGAGACGAGGAAAGACATTGCAGAGCAGTACGTTCAATGTTCGGGTTGTGAAAGTAAAATCCTAAGACGATCTCTGTGGGTCGCGGCTTGTCATTAAGGAATGATGTTGGGTCCCACAGCCAGACCAGCTGAGAACCACTGTCCTACATGAGCGCAGAAAACATTATATTTTCCTAAATTTAAGCTTCTACATTATCCAAATGCTCTAGCATTATTCAAACGTATTGCAAGTCTCGTACCGAACGGTTTAATACGAAGACGTACATAGTTACAGCCTTAAAAACGAATAATAGCTGTGGCGCCATCATGTGGTTATAAGGTGGTATTTCAGCTGCAGGACAGCAGTGAAGGCCCAGGTATAAAATGCACGGCCCGCCACTGGTTGGTATTGATGTTTGGCTCAAGTTTTTTGTTATGGTTAAGGTTAGAGTTTTTCTCAAATCAGACCTGTGTTAGAACGCAGAATTTATTTCTATTTACTTATACCACAACTGTGGAAGGGGTTGTCTTGGTTGTTTACTTATCAGACTGTGGCTCAGTGGTAGAGCTCAATCAAAGGATCGGTGGTTCGATCCCCGGCTCCGGTAGTCCATGTTGATTTGTCCTTGGATGATTGAATGATTAAAAAGTCCTGATGGGCAGGTGGTACCTTGCATGGTGGCCCCTGTCATCAGTGTATGAATGATTGTGAATGGGTGAATCACATGTTTTCATGTGATTTAAAGCTCTTTGAGTGGTCGGAAGACTAGAAAAGCACTGTACAAGCAACATGTGAGTACTTGTAAATTTACAATCTAGACTTTTATAGAGAATCTAGAGTTTACTGGTTTTTCTTCCCTTACTTCCTTGGTTAAATTTGTAGGAGTTTAAATCCCAGAGTCCAGTTTGAATTTGTCACTAATCTGTTGGAATGAGCCGAGCTGTAGGTTTGGGGATTTGGGCTGTATAATTGGACTGGACTGAAAAACCACCCACAGATACTGAACCGCCATCTGTTCACACACCTAATCATAGCTAATGTTTGAGAAGCTGTTTTGCTTTGATGTTGTTTTAAAGGATCTCGATGGAGTCTTCTTGTAAACAGCCATTAAGTGTTTTTCACCAAAACACATTTGCTCCAAAAGAAGAAGAATGAAATTATCAAATTTCCATTTAGTCGATACCCCTACAGTGTTACATTGCAGTGGAGAATACTGTTGAACTTAGATGTTGAATTTGTTTTCCAGTCCAGAAAAGCATCAGTGACCCTTGATCTGTATTAGATCACAAGTTAGTCCGTTTTTCTTTGCACTCACTGCAGTCTACTCAGATAGAAGCTTGAAGAGGTTTACACTGTGAATTGTTCAGCTGATATTACAAGTTTGCAAACTCTAGACTAATCTTATATTTCTATTGTGAAGTTTGAAGTATAGCTTTGCTTAAACAACACATTGCATGATAATTCCTGCTTGTTTGGTCTGCATTATTGTGAAACACTTGACACTTAACAGGAAGCTGTTCCTATTTAAATCTGCACACATTTTGATGATATACTTCGATTGTCTTTGACCATTGACTGGTGATTTCTTCTATTCTTATTCAACGGTTCTTGAGAGGTATCTTTGTCTCTTTCTGTCCTTTCATTTGTCAGTCTGCTTGAACCAATATACAGCATTTTGTTCTCCATGTACAAAACAAAGCTTTATGTAAAGAGGAATTTATTACAACCTAAAAGTATGAAACACCATTCAAACAAATAGAGTAGTAGACTTAGATGTTAGACATAGATGTCTATAGAGACTGTAGATGACTATCGGCAATTTTCCTTTAGTCACCGAGAGGCTAAGTAGAGGAGATTTAAACTTGCGGACGCGCTGGCTGTAACGTAAATGACTTCCGGAATCCAGTGGATGACTTTCGAGTGTTTATTTGTCGACAACAAATCCATTGATTCCGGATAACATACAATTATAACTCAAATAATGACAGTATTAATGTGAATAACGTGTAAAATAACATGAAATAGCGGTCAACAAAAAATAAGGCTCCCTCTCTCACCCCCTCTCCTTCCAATCCTTCCCCTCGTCTAACTCTACTGACAGCTGATAACCCCATTGTGGCTATCCCCAGCACCACGTGACTCAATCACCGGAAGTGCACCGGAAGTGACAATAAAGGGCATACAAAACGACACCGGCCACACCTGGCTCCTACAGAGACATTTATCTTGACCTAAGCAAGCTGCTGTGGCAGAGATTCTAAACTTCAACTGTAGTCTATGTGACTTTGATGTTTTATCTGAGAACTTACTCACGTTACCATCAAAACGAAACAACTGTCAATTCCATGAGTGCTGGTCATGAAGGAAGTCTATCTGTTCTAAAAATGTGACCTGTGTTTTCTCACTAACTTTGTTTCAGAGTCTGGTTACCTACACAAAGCTGTCCTGCTACAGAGTGGGGCCCACATCATAGAGGAGGTCCAGGTTTTTGAGCAGCCTCAACCTGTCAAGAGCCTGAAGCTCTCCATACCAAAGGTACACATTTCATTATGACATTTTGGACTAGATAACTTGAAGATACCAATCCAAAGCATGATGTTGTTAAGGCAGAAGCCACCACTGAGGCAAGCACTCAAAAGCACAACTCAATGCCAGGACAGTTCCAAAAAACCCTGGCAGAGGTTTGGTACACAGGTAGGCAGTCAGTAAACAAATCCAAAACGAGTGAGGCGATCAGCTGGTGATCCAGCAGCCACTGTAGGACCTAACGGACATGCTGGATGTGAGATTCCTCGTCCAGGTAGAAGATGAGTATATCATCCAGGTTTACAAACACAAACTGGGGGCCTGAAATACAGCTGGGGCATTGGACAGTCCAAAAGGCATGATCAGATATTCATAGTATCCATGTATTTATGCATTGCCTCCCTCTCTGGAGCTGACAGCGAAGTAGAGTGTTCCTTTGGGAGGGAAATGCCAGGAAGAAGGTCAATGCAGCAGTCGTATGGTTGGTGCAGAGGGATAGAAGTGGCTATGGCTTTATTGAAAACGTCTTTTAAGTCCATGTAGCAGGAAGGGACTCCAGACAGGTCGGGAACTCGCCCTGGGCACCCAGGTTCAGGTTACTTTTATTTGTACTCGTAGGTAGACTTGGTTTGCAATAGAAGGCGAGGCATCCATCTGGACACACATTACAATCAACACAGACAACAAGACAAACATGATAAAAGTACACAAGGCTACACATCAGTCAATCACTAAATAAAATAAATAAGTACACAAACGTTGCTTCTATAGCATCTGTGCACTGTTGCTATAATTTGTTCACCTGAGTGATGGCTGCTGGAACAAAGCTGCTTTTATACCTCTTTGTTCTACACCGTGGGACTATATACCTCCGTTTAAATCAGGGGTGGGCAAACTTTTTGGCTCGGGGGCCACATTGAGTTTTAAAATTTGACAGACGGGCCAGGCCAGTAGCAGATGAATGGAGTGTTTGTGTGAACTAATATAAATTACAAGTAAAAGACATCAACTAAAAAGTAAAAAAAACTTACATTTAATTTCAGTGGGAACAGTGTTGTTGGTCACGATTTAATGCCAGTGCATCAATGTTTGGTGTCAGTTTGATTGTGGCAATTCTCAGTACAGATCTGAGGTGTTCATCAGTGAAAGACTGTGGTCTTTTTTAGAAATTTGCTTCTTTGACGGGATCATACAGATATTTGACTTTCACATCTAACATTAGAAGAGCTCTGCTGTGTTAAGTCTTTCCTTGTCTCTCCCCCCTGTGTCACGGTGTGGGTACATCTCACTGGAGTCCTGTTTCCTTCACCTACATTCCCCTGGGTCCTAAGCCCCTCCAAGTACATCTTCTTATTACCCTCGATGTACCAACGTACATTTATAACAAATACCACACATATTACACGGTAATCAGCGTTGCATATGTGTCAAACTCTATCGGTGCATCTCCGGTCTGTCTTTGTTCATCCTGCATCGCTCTGGTCTGTTCTTTAATGTAACGTTACTGGAGCGACGGAGCCTCTTCAAGCTGTTAGCAGACTGTTGTGCTAGCAGGCTCGCGAGTGAGCTGTACCCAGCATGCAGTTCGGCGGTACAATTATTAGTGTTACAAATTGTTTGTGTCATAGACTGTTGTGTGCTGTGGTGTTTTGCTCTGTTAAAGAGCGTTAGTTGTGGGTTATTAATTGTTGCGTTATAAAGTTATGACCATGACTAGGGTTCCCTCTCAATACAGATAAGTCAACTTGCTCCAACCGTAGCGCACATCGCGGTGAACAATACATTTAGCTGCCTGTTGAAGACAGACAGCAGTTGTTTTGTCTATGCACCGGTATGATGGTGTGTGTGTGAAGAATCCATATCATACGGGAAATTAAAACCGGTATACCGCCCACCCCTAGTCTTTATTTTAGTTTGGACAATTTTGTACCAATATTTGATGGGCCGGATTAAAAAAACCCAACGGGCTGCATATGGCCCGCGGGCCGTAGCTTGCCCATGCCTGGTCTAGATGGAAGAAGCTGAAATTCCCTGTGCAAAGGGTGGGAGTCGTCCTGTCAAGGGAAAAGGAGGAGCCAGAGCAGTAGCAGAGGACAGTCGGTCAGGTAACTCGGAGGGCGAAACAGACAACAAGCATGTCGTCTTTGGGCTCTTCACAGGCACTCGTCAACAATATCAACAATCAGTAGATGGGTACCAATGATGTTCTGGGTGTACCCAGTGTACAGTGTACCCACTGTAGAGCCCTACTGGTGTGGGCCCTGCACATCTCATGCCAGTTTGTGTTTCCAGTCAGGATGCTTTCTATTGCTGCTCTGTAAAAGTTAAAAAGATCTTGGCACAGGAATTTTGTCTTCTTAGGGTTACTGAAGAAATACAGCCAGTTATGGGCTTTCGTCACCAGGATGGAGAGGTAAATGGACTTGTGCTTGTATAGCGCCTATCTGTGCTTTTTCACTACATGTCATTCACACCCATTCAATTCAATTTATTTTGTATAGCCCAAAATCACAAATCACAAGTTTGTCTCAGAGGGCTTTACAGTCTGTACACATACGACATCCTCTGTCCCGGGACCCTCACATCAGAACAGGAAAAACTCCCCCAAAAAAACTTTAACAGGGAGAAAAAAGTAAGAAACCTCAGAGAGCAACAGAGGAGGGATCCCTCTTATCAGGATGGACAGAAGTATGATACAGAATAAACATAACAGAGTTACAACACATTCAATGCATATGATATAAATTATTCATATAATGAGAGTAGTAAGTATAATAATGATGGAAACATGATTACTAGTAATACGAATTCACACACCGATGGCACAGCCCCATATCAGGTTGTTTGTGATGATATGATTCCCAGGAACTTAAAGCTGTTAACTTGCTCCATTGATGTAGACAGGGGTATGCGTCCTCACTTCCTTTCTTCTAAAATCAACAATCGTCTCCTTGGTTTTACTGACGTTGATCAGTAAAACCTGTTTTCTGAGCACCACTCCTCTCTATAAGTCATCATTGTTTGTAATCCGGCCGATGACTTTAGTGTCATCTGCAAACCTCACAACAGAGTTCTCTTCATGTTTGAGGTAGCAGTCGTGGGTGTACAGTGTGAACAGGATGGGGCTGAGCACACAGCCATGGGGGGCTCTGGTGTTCAACACTAGAGTTGAGGAGGTGCTGGGGTCTGTTTGTGATGAAGTCTAATAACCAGTAACAGAGTGACGTTTAAAAATCAGTTTCATGGGGGAGATTGTGTTGAAGGCTGAGCTGAACTCAACAAACAACATTCTGATGTAGGTGGTGTTATTTTCAAGATGAGTGAGGGCTGAGTGGAGAGCAGTGGAGACAGCATCCTCTAAGGATAGTGACAGTGAGCGGTCCTCTGGGGACACTGAAAGTGGCCGGTCCTCTGGAGGCGGGGCAGACTTGACAGCTGACTCTTTGTTGAGATAAAAGTGAGTATAAATCTGGCAGCGTGGCCTCACACATGATGGGGATGCTCCTGTTTTTGTAGCCTGTGACATTCTGGATCACCTGCCACATATCTTTAGTGTTGTTGGTGTTGAGGTCTCTCACCAGTCTCTCCTGATGCTTCTGCTTTGCTTCCTTGATGCCAGCTTTCAGTCTTCCTCTCACTGACACATATTGGGTACTTCTCAAGTCTCTTAATTGCATCCCCGTTTCCCTCACTTGGGTCCTTTCCTTGCATCTTAGTCCCTCCCACCAGGGATGCATGGAGGAAACCATGCAAGGAGAGAGGAACGAGGAAATCTGTTTTAAGAGACGAGACGTCCTTTCCTCAGTTGCGTCGCGTGAAGCGACGTCTGTTTCTGATGACGGAGGATCAGTTGATCACAGCTGGATCAGCTGTCAGTCGGCTTTAACAGCTGGAGAGACTTTTGATAAGTTTGTTTCTGTTCACATGATCACTGTACTTAATAATAGTAACTAATAACACTAATAACTAATAAAGACACAGTAATCACCACTGTAGAGGTGTTTCTCTCTGTAGTCTGTTACCTCTTTAACAAACTTTGTCCTGTTTATAAACGCAGGATCGATTTCTACTGGCAGAATGCGTCTGTACGTTTTGAAATTCAGATTGTGACGTCATTAAATAACCAAGAATATGATTATGGTTTCTCTTAAATGATATAACTCATCAAACCAGACACTCAGGAATGAACAGCCTCACGTGAAATGATGATAAAATATGTAAAAAGTGTTTAGTCTCTCAGCTCTCTCTATATAGGCAAGGCAAATTTATTTGTATAGCACATTTCAACAAGGTAATTCAAAGTGCTTCACATAAAACCATTAAAAGCATCAAAACATAAGGCAAAAGAAAATATTTAAAAATTAAGAACATTCATTGAAACAATAAAAACAGTGTAAGAAATAAAATACAGTAGTAAAATGCAGAAATGCAGGAAATTGATTAATATATTAATTGAATCTGGTTGAATTAAAGGCAGCAGCAAACAGAAAAGTCTTCAATCTTGATTTAAAGGAGCTGAGGGTCTCAGCAGACCTGCAGCTTTCTGGGACTTATATAAAGTGTTTAGTCACTCCAGCTCTCTCTGACTTTAATTGTATCCATAATAAAAGTTATTGAGGGAAACATCAGACCATGAAAAGACAAATCTTTCTAACAAATGAAGAAAGTTGTTTGTGGTCCTTTTGTTGTTTAGTCTACAATGAACATTTATTTAAACTAGATGGTGAATCAGAAAACTAATCAAATATAAAGCTTGAGTTTGATCTGCGATCTGTCTTCACTGTTTACATGTTGAAAAAAATCTCATCAGTCCGATCGGCTGCAGCGTCCAATCGGATATCTGATGAACAATGAGGGGGCGTGTCGGCCGTAAAACACTTCCTGGAAGGCTGTTCTCGTGGGTCCTCGCTCATGGTTCCTTGGAGATCCCTCCTCTCTCCTCCGAGCTAAATGAGAGCTTTGGGACGGCCTTCAATATGGCGGTGGAGAACAACTTCCGGTTTAAGCGAGGAGCGACAATTAAGAGACTTGGGATGTACCCTCTATGTAGGAGCCAAGTATGGCCTGTGCCATTTTGTACATCCTTTTTTGTCACTTCCGGTAATTGAGTCACATGGTGTTGGGGAAAGCAATGGGGATATCAGCTGTTCAGTAGTTAGTTGGATGAATGGAAGGAGAGGGGGCGAGAGAGGGAGCCTTATTTTTTGTTGACCGATATTTACACGCTATTCACACAACTATTGTCAGTGTTTGATGCTTTGCACACCAAGGAGAAAGCGAGTTTGAACACTTATGACTGCTATCCAGCCCCAAAGTTTGTTTGTTGTCCACAAAATAAACTCACAAAAATAATTTACTGACAGCGCGTCTGCAGGGTAGTCTCCCCTTCTTAGCCTCTCGGTGACTAATTTTAAGTTGCTGATAGTCACCTACATTTGTCAACAAAAAACGGGTACAAGAAAGCCTACGGAGCCACGCCACTTTCGGTGTTGACGAGCCAGACGCGGAGGATTGCGATCGCCGTGTTGAGCCTTCACGTTGCTCCTGACAAGATCGCGAGCCGAACGGCGGTATGCAACCTGTGTTTTCTACTGTGTGTGGCTTGTTTAGAACACAGTTTGAATTGGTTACTGCAGCACGTCGAAGTGGTGTGTTGTTGCCCTTGCGGTGTGGTTTTGCCACTTCGTGGATTGCGTTTGGAGCCTTGAAACAGACTGTTTTGTGGTGTGGACTCGGTGTGTTGGAGGTTAATATGGCGCCTTCATTCCGGTGTTACAGCTGTTGAGGTTGCTGGCTTTAAATTTAAATTTCCTTCTTCGTTTGAAGTGAGTGCCTCAAGGACTGGTTCGATGGTTGGCACATCGGAAATGGAGAAAGGGACAACATCTTTAACTGAAAAGGCTCTGGCAAGCAACATTGAGACAATACAGAAGAAACGTAAAAAGGAAGTTAACAGAATAAAAGGCCAGATACAGTCTCTCAAGGAGCTCATGAGAGATGATGAAAATGCTTCACAAGTTAAATCACAACTTGATGTTTTGATGCAATCATTTCAAAATGCCACTGCCTTGCACACATCTCTGATGCCTTTACTTCCATCTGATGAACAAGAAAAACAAAATGCATGGTTCACAAGCATCAACAAAAACAACCAAGGATTTATTGAGGATGTTAATGTGTGGTTTACAAAACCCAGCAAACATCCAAGCAAGCCTCTATTACAGCTACCTCATGACATGGAATGGCCGCAGGAAACTCTGCCAGGGAAAGAAAATGGGGCTCACAAGAAGTCTCTATCTGGTAAACAAGACATTCAGGATGAAATATTGCCATGTGACAGTATATCAAACCACAGCAGCAGGAAACACACTTCAAAGTCAAATGTTTCCACAACATGATCTGCACGTCTCATAGCAGAGGCTGAAATGGCTGCTTTGCTTGCCCGTCAAAGGTTGCTGTGGTGGCGGGGCATGTTCGGGCTCAGCTGCAGAGGGGACAGAGTGGGGGAGTGGTTCAGGGAACGGTGCTGGGAAGAGGCTTAATTAGGCTCAGCTGAAACCCATCTTAAATTGTGTCTCTCTCCCTCTCTCTGATATAAAAACACTAGTAGTGACGGAGGCGCGAGAGAGCGGGGCAAGAGACACAGACTGGCCGTGGGGCAGAGAAGTCAGCAGACCTCAGGAAAACCCACACGGCGTGCGCTCAGAGGAAGGCAGCAGAGCGCACGGCCCAGTCCAGACTGTCTGGATAAAACTGAATAAACTAAATAAAGAACGTTGAGAAACACTATTTGACCATGTACTGGCGTACTTGTGCTCCCAGGACCCACAGGGGTAGCAAGAGTTTGTTACACTGGAGCCCAACGTGGGGCGAGCACAGGGAGATGGACGCAGAGTCACCGGAGGCACCGACACAGCCGATTATAGTGCGGGGCCAGATGTTGGGAGGGATCGCGGCCATGCAGCGGGACCAGGCCGAGACGACCCCGCAGTTCCTGGGGGAGCTCCAGGCCCAGGCAGAGCGGCAGGCCCACGCCCTAGAGCAGCTCGCAGCACAGGCAGTGGCAGCTCTGCCGGTGCCGGTCCTCTCCTCTCTGGCCGGGGTGGTGCTACACAAAATGAGTGACGCAGACGACGTGCAGTCATTTATGGCCACCTTTTGAAGCAACGGCGGCGGCGTGCAGCTGGTCCATGGTGGAGTGGGCAGTCCGGCTTCTGCCTCTCCTCACCGGGGTTGGGCTGAGGGACGCCGCAGCCAGAGAGTCCGGGGGGGTGGGGGGACGCAGGAAGTCCTGGAAGGTGGTCCTGGAGCAGTTCGTGGGGGCGCTGCCTGCTTGGACGTCAGCATGGGTCCGCTACCACCGGCCCCCGACACTGGGGACCGCCATCACCCTGGCCGAGGAAATGTCCCTTTCTACAGATTTTTCTCCCTGAATTTATAAAAGCTGAGAGGCATGTTAATTTGGTAAAAATGTACAGAAAATGGAATGTTAGTAAAAGTAACTGAGCAAGAATGTTTGTTCCTACATTTGTGCAGCCTCTAAGTTCGGGCTGAGGCCAAAATACTTGGTAAAAGTTTTAGCTGGTATATTAAAAGGGTATAACATATGGTAAGTCACATTAAATTGTGACATTGAACCTACCACTTTTTCAGTCCTTGCCATGTTTTTAGGGGAATCAAAGACAAAGCAGATTGACTTTGATTCACTAGCTCAACTTTGATTTACAGTGCAGTGAAGTTGGCATGTTTGGCAACTGCAGCAGCAACTTAATAAATTGTAACCAACTTCCCTTTGAAAAAACAGCCCCTGTCCCTGATATGTGTGGCAGATAATGAGATTAATGTCCATGTGGGTGGAGGTGTAAGGTGATTAAAACCAAAGAGTACAATTTATACATTTTCTGCCTCTTTGACTTTCCTGATTAAATAAGTAAATTCTACTTGGTGATTCACAGCTGATTTTATCCAAACAAAATAAAGTAAAATGCAATTAATAAAACATTCAAAATTGTTTAATCCAGCTCAATTTGATTCCAAACTGCACATTTTCTATATTATTTTCTATGTAGAAGTCACTATTTATTTACTTAATTTGAATGCAACCACACGTGTTTTTTTTACAGTGTATTGGCATTAGTCATTTTTTATTGTGTGATAAGCCGCTCAGAGCTAGTGTTAAATGGGTCATCATTCCCTCTCTAATATCTTTTTTTTATATTGCTGTGAAAAAATCCCTGTATTTATTCAAATGTATGCCAAAAAAATGTTGAACAAAGCCTTGATGCAAAGAATTTGCAGTGGTGTTCAGGAGGCGGTTCGTGTGAAAATCATCTTCGGATACTCTTCTAATTGTTTTGATCACATTTTGTCCTAATGCAGGGTATGATATATGTTGGCACGTCAGAGGGTGTGGTGAGTGTTCCAACAGCCAACTGCTCTTTCTACTGGACCTGTCCTCAGTGTGTTCTTGCCCGAGATCCCTTCTGTGGTTGGGACCCTGCCAGCAGGGCCTGTGTGGAGGCCTCCAACACCCATGCCAGTCTGTGAGTACCACAAGATCATGTTAAAAATGACTCGTATTATGTTTGCAGTTAGGGGGTTATGATATATGATACTACTGTTAAAATAAAAAGCATCATTAGGCTACAAAATAAAACACATTAAAGGTCAATGTACACGCTAGTGAAACAACCCCACACCACAGAGCCGTTATGTTCAAACCAATCATTAAATCCCTTTCTAATGACTGCACTTGGCAGCCTGTGCACAATTAGGACTCAAGCAGTATTTTAATTCTAATGATTATTATTATGAGGGCCCGAGCACCAACCAGCGGTTGGGCCAGCAGGCAAGAGATAACAACCGGCATCCCTCCACTACCCCTGACGTCTCCATTCTTGGGCGTACTTCTCAGATCACCTTCAACTTCGGTCATTAAAATAGTAAGACCTTCACAATGCCTAAAACCAAAGCTCTTGTGGTTTTATCCAAACAAATGAAAATGTGGTATATCATATGGTTTTTGTGCTTGGCTATGGAAAGAGTGCAACAAGGCAGCTCTCCCAGTACATTTCATCGAGATGACCGACATTTGGTAGGCATATATATCGCATGTGGACGTTAAAAAACGCAACAGTAAGTGGGCCATTTTGAATTCTGTGTGAATTTTTTGTGATTTCCAGGCTCTGTACTTGAACCTCCTGGAGATGTAACCCGATAGACTTTAAATTTGGTCACTATAATCTTTGGACCTTTGCAATTAAAATGTATCAAAAGTTTTAGCTTTAATGAAACTGCATTGCCGTGGTGTGGTGGATAATTTATATGATTCTCAAACAAAATACTGTTAATCAAGTGTACTTGATCAATTCTTCCCCAAACTTGACATGCTTCATAAGAGTGGTGGCCTGAAGAGCTGTGGCCTGAGGACATACACATGCCAATATTAAGTCACCTGAAGCTCATCAGCAGTTGGCAAGTGGAAGTAGGCTTTGTGATACACAACATTCAATTTTCAATTTTTGTGTGGTCCACCCTTGCATACAGCAACACAATGCATGTTTAGTGCATGTTCTCCAGCGCCTGTTGTGGTCATACAAAAGTTGCAATACATAATTTCAAGCACCACGCACTTCATACAGAAAATAATGTCTAATTGTGCAGGCAGTGTTCGATACCCAGTACCCTGAGGTGCACGAAAGTGCAAGGGCCTTTAATCATCAATTATAATACTAGAACAAACCGTAAAAGAGAGTCAGTCAGTCAGTCAGTCAATCAAACTAAATTGAGAGGTTGGATGGCACATAGAAGCACACCAGCCAGAAGGGAGTTTTCATAGTGGCACGAGATGACAAGGGCCGGGACCAGAACCTGCGCTGCCTCCTGGAAGGAAGAGCAGCTCAGTCTTGGTTGAGCTTCAGGTGGCATGCGGACATAGCCTGTAATCGCCAGACCAAATCACAAGTACAACTTTGTCTGGAACCTCTCAGTTCATTTTCAATTTGCAACGGTCGTTAACAGGCATAAACCAAAATGCCTCTGGTTGCATTTAGATAGACTTACAACCATTAGAGTAACAAAATATATGACATAGAGCCGAGCAAGGGAAAAATATAAACCGATTACGGTGTAGAGATGAGCTGTGTTGGAGCAGCAATATAGCTGTGGACGAGTGATACCGTGTTACCGTAAGTTGTTTTACTTTGCCAGGGAACCAGACAAATATGTGGGCTTGGTTGTTGTGGAAAGGAAAAACTGACAAACTTGGTACATCAGGTGGTCTGTGCTCCCTAGAGAAGCCAAAGTCTAGTTATTGTTAATTCTCCTGTTCACCGTACCCAATTAGGCTGTGATTTATGGGTATGTGTGTGCTTTACCACTTTTTTATCCCAGCTGTCGCCATTACAGCACCAACTAATTTGACCTCTTCACCAACAGGTGAAGTGGATGTTTTCTGAAGTAGGGGGCGACCGATTAAGGGGTTTAGCAGATTAATTGGCGACGAAAAGGACATTTTACAAAGTTAACGCTATTGGCAGACATGATCAAAACAACTATTAAAGACCCCATGAAATGGCAATCGTGCTTCGAGGCCGTGCGAGGTGGGGGAACTACAAATGCGCTCCAGCCACAAATGCATGATTTATTATTTCGATTCTTTGAGATATTTTTTCAGAACGTAAATCTCCACTCCATGAAAAAACCTCCACGGCACTGCAATGCGGTTAGAAAATGTGGGCTGAAACGTAGCCGTCGAAAGACATATCTGACCTGTTACCAGTTTATTTCTCCCACAAAAGTTCTCCCTCAACACTATCACCTCTTGATATGTCAATCAGACGATTAATCGGCTTTTTCTAGATCTAACGGCAAATCATTTACCAGTACTACCTCTGCCGGTATGTCATATTGTCATTACACCACATGTTAATATAGGCCATTAGGCTTATACTCTCAATAATGTGATTAATGTGTAGGTACACATAATGTATTGTGAGTACATTGAAGACTACTTTAAACGTGGCTTTACAACACATGAAATACTTCATGTGGGATTGTGCAAACGCACCATTGAAAGGATTTTAGGCATTGAACAAAGTTATTGTAATAACTTGTGTTTGATATTTGTTGGAATGCTGTTAAGCCTTCTTCTTCCTCATACTTTCAGCTACAGACACCATAGTTAGACATTTCAACTAGAAGGGTTTTCAACAGTGCAGTTTAAATGCTTTCGGGCTTCAACATTTTCCAGACGGGTAGTCTCCCATTTCTTAATTTTCAACAATTTTTTTACAATTCAGCTTTTAGCATTCCAACGCATTTTCAGCAGGAAATGCATTTTCTAGTTGTTGGAATGCTGTTAAGCATTTGTCTTTTGCCACTGTGTCCACAATCTTCACTCTTCATGCATAATTTGTGGATGTAGAAGTAGCTAATCTTGTCCTTGTTGTAGAAAATGACTGTTGAATCCCACAGATTTACACATTTGGCACAGAAGCCTGTAATTGAGAGGACAACCAACTTTCTGCTCCATAGAGACCAATGTTAAATTTTGCTTCAAAAACATCTTTCACAGAACTCGGTACCCCATTTCTAGATCGCCAGTTAAACCACATTTTGTACACTACAGACACAATTTTTACACATCTGTTCTTCAACTCATCCTTCCTCTCATTTATTAATATCGGAGCAATAGGAGCTATGGTTATGGGAGTATTGAGGATTTGTTTGAAAGGTGTTTCCCTGTCTAATCTCCATGAAAAGGCTGCAAGGACACAGGTGTTTCTGATTAAGCTAATTAGTGATGTTGATAAACACACACTCACAGACACACACGCACTCCTGTCCCTCTCTCTCTCATACAGTCATTCAGGTTCTTGGAGATCTTTAGAGGATCCCCCCCCACACACACCCCATTTCAAAATAAAAGCCCCACAGAATGAATTCTAACTGAAATGCTTATGATGAAGCCTGACATTTAATAACCTGTTTGTGTTTATCTAACATTATGAGTCCATCTCTTCTCCCCCCACACCCCATTTCAAAATAAAAGCCCCAAAGAGTGAATTCTAACTGAAATGCTTGTGATTTAATAAACTCTTTTTGTGTCAGACATTATGATTATGTCTCCTCTCCCCTTCTCTCCCCCACCCAGTCCCACCCTTTCAAAATAAAAGCCTCATGGATTAACTGTATTTAAACGTTATGCTCAAATTACAACTCAACTACAACTTCTAGTACTACTACTACAAATATCACCACTGATGAAAGCTGTGTTTTTAAGCCACAGAAACCGTTCGAATATGAAAATGTTCAGCTCTTTCAGGAGAGGGGTGAAATGACTTTTCATATTTGTAATCTTTAAACTTTTTGAGTTATTAAGCTTTTTGCAATTTTTTTTTAAATTGGATATCTATTTTCAGCAATGTTTTTGCAATTCATTTCAACTTTCAGCATTCCAATGCATTTTCAGCAGGAAATGCATTTACTAGTTGTCTTTGCTGTTTTCTTTAATAGTTTGATCTTTGATAGAGTAATGTGGGTTTCTTAACCCTAAATTAAAAGGATTTAAGTTATAACAGAAATGTGCTTATATATTTTTACATTTATTTAACTGCATGTACAATATTTTTACACTTGAATAAACAATAATCCAATGCAGAGAGTTATTTACCAATATGTTAGGAGTAGATACATTTACACCGTCTTACATTTACAACCGGCCCTTTGTGGGCGACCGTGATGCTGATGTGGCCCAGAGTGAAAATGAGTTTGAGACCCCTGAATTAGACAGTTGTACCAGCCTTCTCTGCTGACTGTAGTTCTCCCTCCTCAGATGCCAGGACATAGACGGAGGAAATGTTGAAGAGGCATGCAACACTGTTTCATTTACACACAGAGCCAGATTTGGTCCAAACAAACTGCCTGCAGGTAAGTGTCACTTATCTCAGTTGCTGGTTACATACTTGCATACATACATAAAATACATTTTGGCATTTACAGGATTAAAGCTATATTTTCTTAATAGCAAAATTCATCGTCCAATATGTCACTAAGGCTCATGATGAACTTGTTTTCTAAACAATCACAACAGCTGGGCTGAATACTTTGTGTATACAAATTTTGGTTCAGAATCCCTTGATTATTTATTTATTATTGTTAAGAGTTTGACTAAGTGGAACATTTTAAAGTGTAAAATAAACTTGTCAGTGGACAAACTGACTGAGTTTGGAAAGGATCTCAAATCGAACGTTGACATTTCTCTTCTGACATGGTGATTTATCAGCGAAAATCTGCGCTTATACGATGTATGCGATAAGCCTATATTGGCCGATTTATCAGTTGGGCTCTAGTTACTGTATTATTAAACTCACAGCAGAAATAGCAACTGCAAGTTTCTCCAAGAATGGAGGGATGGACAGAGAGGCAGCAAATTTTTTCCGTTGCAGCGGCTAACTTCCGTGTAAACCAAGTTGCGGGAAATCGCGGACTCATTCATGCCATAACATGAGCGTCTGCGTCTAGTGTTTCTGTGTGTAGTCCCATCGAGCTGGCTGTCCTTTTTATATCTATGTAAGAAAGTATGATGGCCATAACATATATCGATGCTTTTGGACAGGAGCAACACACTTAACGGCCCAGTGACGTGCATTGATAATATTGATAAGCATATCATTTAGTTATCGCTACTGAGAATTTATCAAACATAAAAAAAGAAGTAGATAGGTTTGGTGTGTATTTCAAATTGCATCTATTACACACGTGAAAATAAAGTTGTGCAGTCGGCTGAATATCTATTATCAGAATCATTATAACTGTATAACTGCTACTGTGTAAAGGGAATACTGCTGTTAAAAAGAACCTTATTTGTTTAAAGTGTTTGCAAACCAAATGTTATTGCCCTTTTGTTCATATAGCAGTACTTTAAAATAAAAGTGCGCAATACACTACTTTTGAATTAATTATTGAACTGTGCGCATAACAATGCGATAAATCGCAAGAAATCATGCGATTAATTGCGATTAAATATTTTAATTGCGATTAAATATTTTAATCGTTGCCCAGCACTAAAATGTAAATGAATATATGGAATAAAATAGTTATTCATGTCATAGTTATCAACCATTTGGTCACTTTAACCTATTATTCATTGCACAAAATGAATGTTTTACCTGGTTCCACCACCTGACATATAGCAGTTCTGCCACCTGATAACATTAAAAATAACACGATTTATGCTGAATAATTCAAACATCTAATCATGTTCAGTAAATAGCAACTAGAAGTGGCTACAGTGCAATATATTGATTAGATGGACATGTAATGGATTGTGATTGAGCAACAATTAAGTCTTATTTTGATATATTCATAAAGTAACACCAGCTCAAGACAATTGAAAAAACTAATTTAGAAATATCCAAATGCATTCATCAAATATATTAATGTTACATTAAATTAAATGCATAGCAACTGGAATGCAATACTACTACATACTAAATACAAATGGATTGTGATTCAAAAATATGTTTGAATATGATTTAAAAAAACATTTGAATGACTTCGGAACTTGTGACAAAATATTTCAAAACATTTCGGGTGTATTAAAGCAGTCCCAGTGTGCATGAGTGAGCCTTGTGTCGTGAATTAAAAGGCTCTGAGATCACATGTAACACCTCAGTTGTGTCATACGAAATTCATTATTTACAAACCTGAAAGGTCTGACAACTGTATAAAAGTAAGAACTGAAAAAAATCTATAAATAAATAACTTGAGAGAAAATGTAGTTTATCAAGATGTATTATTCAATTAAATTAAATTTATTTTTGTATAGCCCAAAATCACAAATTTGCCTCAGAGGGCTTTACAATCTTTCCCGGAACCCTCACATCATCTCTCTTATCTCTCTTTTCTTTTGGCAAGATATGCTTCTCTTGAAGCCAAATCATTGTTCATGCGCTCCCTGTGTCATGTTGATTTCGCTTTACTTAACAATGGCGTCTAAAATAATTATAAAATATTATCATGAAAAACGTTTGAAAGTATATTGTAACTTTAAAGGCAGGGTTGGTTATCATCTTCAAAAACATTTTATACATTTTTTTTATTCTCTTTACATCCTCACAATTAACGCGCTGACAAAAAAAGAATAATCTGTTATCTGTCTGTCTCAGGACTGTAAGAAGCTCGTTCGATCATTTCATTCAGCTCGTATATAATGATGAGACGGCTACCTGACCTGTTCCTGCCTGCCTCCGTGTACTCATTGATCGTCACTCAGTCTTCCACAAGCTGCTAGCTTGACAGCTGTGAGTACGAATAGCAGCCATGTTGGTTGCAGTGGTGGGCCGTCAGGGCCAGCTAAGCCTTCTCTGCTGGCCTAAACAGAATCACAAAGTTATAGCTATTTTATAATTTAATAATTTTTCACAAATACACTACATGTATTATAATTTTTTTTTCCCATTAGCTTATTTTCTCATTGCACAGCTCCTGTCTTCCTCTGTTGCTCTGCTTCCAGCCTGTAGCGCTGCTTCCAGTGCAGCTTGTTTTAAGGAGAGATTTTATTCAATCAGATTCAGCCTCTATGTCTCTATGTAAGGAGAGGCCCGATGCCCGCTAGAGAGCCTTTGCAGTTTAAGTAAATGGGGACGATATTGTTGATTGTCATAGTCTTCAACCAATC